TCGAATGCCTCATCTTTCTCTCACAGGGCAGCTGGTGGTCTCAAATTAGTGACCTTGCTATTAGCAGCCCAACGCATAACCACGACACCACCAGAGCTCTGGAACAGAGCTTGTGCTAAAATCCCTAAAAGATGAGCCTTACTTTTCACCATTGTGGATCTCCATAGATCAAGCCCAAGGGTCACTTTGAAGGTCCCCTTTCTCCTGAGGACAGATACTGCCCTAGAAATGGCCAGTGTCTGTTTGATTAGCCTTCTGAATTTTTAATTAGGTTTCTCAGATGGGAGATATCTGACCAGACAGGTGGGGACTGGTGACATCAGAAGGCAAGCCCTAACCAATCCCCCAGCACGGAGGACCCCCAACAGGTCAGTGTGGGACCTGACCCTTTGCTTTCCTCAACTTCTAGAGCAAACTACCATCATCCGCAAAACACCATCATCTGCCAAGACACCGAATTAATTCACAGAGCCACACAGCATTTCTCTAAATATCGGTGAAGACCATTCCTGGGATGTTGAACATACTCAGAGGCATGCATTTCCACCCCAGCAGGTGTTCCAGGTGACAGCTCAATAGGACTCCACAAGCTCACAGGAAGATGGAATCAGAAGGTAAAGGAACTTGTTCTACGCACTTTCTGAAGCTCCGAACCAATGAGTCGTACAGTCACGCTAATTATGACAGTCACACTAATTATGACAGTCACACTAATTATGACTACACATAGAGTAACAGACATTAAAAAAGGAAATGAAAGCAACTCTCAAAGACTCTTTCCTTGCAATATCCTCTCCTGTTTCCTCCCCTGCCACATGGCAAGATGGATGTTTCAATCCTTGGGCAAGCTGCTCAGTGCCCTTCTCACTAGTTGAACACCATCCATCCCACCCTGCACCACACCTCCAGTGCAGCTCCTGGGAGCCCACCCAAGCAAAAGCCACCTCTCAATGGTGGTCTTTCAGGGTCCCTAAGAGGCACAACAGCTTGTGTCCAACTACCAACAAAAGCCTGGCTGAGCCTTCCCAGCAGTGCCATGGGAGAGAGAACTGGTACTTTGCTTCCATAGAGATGAGATTCCCATTAATCTGTGCCCTTGAGCCGGTGCCAACACGCAGTGACTGCAGTACAGAGAAGACCTTCCTGCCGGGTTTCCAAGGTGGAAATCTTCAAGGCAGCAGACCGTACATACCTCTTCATGGGAGTAGAAAGCCCCCTCTTTCTTCCCATAAATGGCTGCCTTGTGCACACATCCTCCACAAAGACATGCTCGTGCAGGGTGGCCATGGACCCTCAGTTTGTCAGAGTGGCCATGAAGCGAGCGCCGCAGAACAAGGGAGGGACCCAGAGCTCTGCGCTCTATTTCTGGCTCTACCACCAATCGGTTCTTTAAAACCCCAGCAAGTCATTTCAGTTCTTGGGCGATTGGGGCTGAAGGCTGGGGCTGGTCCCTTCCAGCTCTCTGTCTTTAATTCCATGACACAAGAGAACATCTCAAAACTGTATCTGTTGTGATGCCGGGGCCACGTCCCTGGGAATCACAGCACCATCGCATGGAAGGGAGGTCTCTCTCACAGGCTGATCACAGTGGCTGCGAGCAGAATGCCATCAAACGGCAGTTGGTCCCACCTCCAACAAAGTGTGCAAATGGAGGGAGTGGGGAGTGTATTTCCTGAGTGGCACCAATGGTTAAGCCCTTGACTACTGACCAAAAGGTTGGCAGATTGAACCACCCATAGGGGCCTCAGCAGATAGGCCTGGTGATCTGGTCCCCAAGAGGCCACCGCCTTGCACACTCTATGGAGGACAGTTCCACTTGGGCACACACTGAGTTACCATGAGCCAGAGTCTACTCAGCAACAACTGACAGCAAGATGTTCAGATAAGAAGACAGCATGAGAAACTTAGCAGTGGTAGGCCACCATTGCATCACTGCATCACGGCTGAAGAGAAGAGTCAACTTTTCCCAATTACACCCCCCCACCCTGCCCCCTAGAGCATGTGTGCATTTGCATTTTGGCTAGAAGCCCCATATAAAATATGAGCCTATCTACCTGGGGCTAGAAAATCTCGTTATATTGAATTTATACCGATGATCACCCAGTTGTTTTGCCCGGAATGCCTTTGTAAAACTGGGTGCCTCTCTGGGACCAATCCCTTCGGTTGGCTCACAGGATCCTTCTTGACATTGACTGTTTCCTGCAGTTACAAACCAGAGTGAACGGTAGGGCCAGGTGGGCAGTTCCAGCAGCACCCAGACGCTCCCCGCCCCCACTGCCAATTCTTAGAGCCTGAGCCGTGAGTGCTCACTGTTTCTGAAGCTCACCCACCTTGTCAGTTCTCCTAAGTTGGCAGGAAGTGCTGGGGGTGGGGTGGGGTGGAGGGTTGGTGGAGGCAGAAACTGTCTTTTTTAATGATTGAGAGAAAAACAGAAGTAGAAGGTAGAGTAAGGGGCTACCTGCCTAAGGTTTTCTCTCCAGGCAAGTCTGCAGGTGAATATTTAAGAGTTGGTGGTAGCTTCTATTTTTAAACATAGGGATTCTAGGGTCTACGGTCCCAGCCTTTCTCAAGGCGTACTTAGCCTCAAAGGTCAATGTCCTCACACCTGACGGGAGTCCTGGTGACAGCATTGTGAGTTAAGTGCTCACTGCTCGCTCAAAGGTCAACGGTTGGAGCCCCCGAGCCACTCCTGAGAGGAAGAGGAGGCAATATGCTCCCATCATGCTTTGCAGCCTCAGCAGCCCTAGGGGGCCCTGTGGCTCGGGATCAATTGGATGGTAGTGAGGGGCTGTGGCCCTTGCGGTAACTTCAGCCAGCTTCCTCTAGGGCAGTGGCTCTCAACCTTCCTCATGCTGCAGCCTTTTCATACCGTTCCTCATGTGGTGGTGACCCCCAACCATAAAGTTATTTTCGTTGCTACTTCGTCACTGTCATTTTGCTACTGTCATGAATCAGGCGACCCCTGTGAAAGGGTCGTTTGACACCCCCCCCCAAAAGGGGTCGCGACCCACAGGTGGAGAACCGCTGCTCTAGTTGGTCCCTGGGTGGTACGAAAGGCAACTATACTAGGCTGCTAACCCAAAGGGTGGAGCTCTAAGTCCACGTAGAGCCCCCCTGATCCATTTCCCCAGAGCCGGCAGTTTTACGACCCGAGGGCCCACCATTCTACTTCAGCACACAGGGGTTGTCATGAGTTGGTATTGATTCCCAGGCAAAGGCTTGGGTTTGCTTTTCATGCCCCCTCTTTTGGGTCCCCTAACAGAGGCCAAGGACACCTGCTCGGTGGGGGTGGGCAGAGGGGGAGCCATGCTCTGCTTGCCAGTTCTTCTAGAAACCAAGGAACCCCATGGTGGCTCCTGGGGTTTGTTACAGCGGGGTATGCTTGTCCCCATGGCCTAGTACACACACACACACACACACACACACACCCCGCAGATCCTAGGGGTACCACAAGGGGTCCACCACCGGCCAAGTCTGGCTGCGTAGCCCTGGAGAGTCCCGGCGGGCTAGAGGCTGTCTGGGTGGGCAGGAGGCTGATAGAGGCTGCCCTCAAGCATCGCAGAGGGATATCAAGGTTCAGGGCAGCATGGTCTGGTGGGGAGGTGAGCCTGGTGGGTGCAGCCAGTTCCCTCCTGGGCTCTGCCCACCTCATGGGCCAGGGTATGCTAAGCTGGCACCTGAAAATGGTTCTAGAAGGTGAGCATAAGGTGAGGAGGCTTGTGGCTGGGCCTCAGGAGAGGCTGCTATAAGCTGCTGTGATCACAACCCCAGAAGGCGGCCTTAGATGCCTCTGCATGAACCACCACCAGGAGCCCTCTCAGGGCACCAGTTCAGAAGGAGCATCAGAGAAGCGAGGGGTTCTGCCGTCCCCCAGGTTCGCTCTCTGAACCGGGCACACAGCTCATGTTCTGGTCCGACCTCACTCCCCCGTTTTGCAGATGAAGACACTGAGGTGCACAGAACCTCTGTGACTTGTTGAAGGCTTTGGTGTCAGGACCAGATCGCCACTTGTGTGACTCCAGACTTTAAAGCCCTAACCATTTCATGTCACCACCTGTGGCGCCCAAATTCTCCCCAGCTCGGTTTCCAGGCATGGTCGGAAGCCCTGGTTTTCAATACCCTGTCTCCCAGAAGAAAGACTATTAATGTTCTGCCAGGGATCGGATAAGCTCTGGAGGGGTGCAAATGTGGCCAGGGGCTCTCATCAGCTCCAAGGCCTACTCAATAGGTAACCCAGCCCCTGAGTCTGGGGAAGGGCGTGGCTCTAGGAAAGAGTGTCACTTTTGTGTTTGCTCAAAGATAGTCATTAAGTCACCCTGAAGACATCGTTCCTGCAGACTAAACAATTCCACTCCTTTTTTAAAAGCTTTCCTCACAGGAGATTTTTGGTTGTTGTTGTTGTTTTTCTTTTTTTTGGGTACCAATGTTCTATATTTACCAGTTTTGCCCCAGACACTCCTCTGCCCTCCTACTCTATTTAAAACCATCCTGTAATAAGATCTCAATCTGTGTCTCAGAAAGAAACGGGTCCCACGCCTGCATCCCAGGGCCTTAACAGAATTAACTAGAGGCCAGCCTCAAAGGTAAGCAGTCACTTGGGGTCCACTCTGACCCTCGACCTCCCTTTCCACCTCCCCAGTGCCTGGCCTGTCTTCTGGCTACTATTTGCTTTTGAGCTTGTGGAACATCATATTCTATTTGAGAGGCTAGTCCTCTGGTCCATTGCATGCCTGCCGTGGGCCTACCACACACCTAGGTCAGGCTGATGTCTTTCTCTCTGCTCAGAGAACCTTCCAGAAGAGCCCAGGATGACTGAAAGGACACCCTTGAGGAGGAGAGCACCTACCACGAAATTCTTTCTCCTAGAAGTGGCCTGGGGAGCCCCCTGGGCTCTGAGGTTAGCCACAGTTGTGGGGATGTTAGTGGAGCCCTGGATTCTGAGTCACGGTGTATCCTGAGCATCAGGGGGGGGGTAGGGGCTGGCCCAAGGGCGTACTTACTTCTTGGTTCCCTGGGTCCATCCACGGTGATCTTGATGGCTCTGTGGTAGGTGGCGACTTGAGGAGGGTTCGTGAAGACAGTGATGGTCAGAGTGAAGCTTTTCCCTGTGGGAACACAGAAGAGGGCACAGGAGCGTGAGGAGGCGGCTGGAACGTATGTGTTGTCTGGTTGGCTATTCGTTTCTCCTCCCCGGCCTTCCCACTGGAAAGGGGGCCGTGACTCCGCAAACACAGCAAAACAAAAACGAAGCCTCAATCCCCAAGCCCCCGCCCCTGCGTCTATTCCTCCTTCCAGCGGCCCACGGGACTGAGACCTGCCCACAGGGTTTCTGAGGGCTGATCCTCATGGACGCCAATGGCCACAGCTTTCTCCTGGTGAGTTCCGCCCGCTGACCCTCTGACATGTCGTCTAGCCCCTAACTAACTGCACCACCAGAGCTTAGCTTCTCTGCCCTAGGGACTGGGGCTTCCCATCTTCCCTGGATTGGCCTTGCTTAAATACTGGGATCTGTCTTAGTGCAGGCACCTAGGTGCTCAAATGGTCTTTCAATCTGCTGCTAACCTAAAGGTTGATGGTTCAACACCCACCATCACCACCACCACCACCACCTCCTCGCAGGGCTTCTCTGCTGGGGGAAATTTCTTAAAAGCCCAGTGAACTGCTTCTGTAAAGATTGCAGCCAAGAAAACCCATGTTCTACTCAGCCCCACGTGGGTCACTCTGAGTCAGAACTGATTTGACTGCAGCTGGCCTTTCTTTTTTCTTGGCTTGGGTGTGTCCCTGTGTAAGGCATCACACAGAGTGTCTGGGAAGTGCCAACAGAGCTCAGAGTCTGACCTAAAGTTTGGAGCTTCAAGCCCACCCAGAGGCGTCATGGAAGAAAGGCCTGGCAGCCGACTTCTGAAAAAGTCAGCCACCGAAAACCCTCTGGAGCACAGCCCTGCTCTGACATGCCCTGCAATCCACGCCCCCAACTGATTAACCTGTCACACGAGTGCAAGGTTTGACTTAATCGTTGATAACTAGCACAGGATTGAGAGAGATTAGAATTTATTTTCTTTCAAGACAAGACTCCGGGGATCCAGCCTCTCTGGGGATCAATTGTGTAATGTCTATCAAAATAGACAAGGGACACGTCTTTCAAACCGGCTATTCCACTTCCAGGAGTTGGCCCCACCAGGATACTTCCAATGTGTGCGAAATACACACGGCTATCCATCAGAGCATTTTTGGTGATAATAAAAGAGCAGAAGCAAGCAAGCAGAATGTCTATAGGAGACTGGCTTAGGTAAATTATAGTGTATCCCTGCAATGGAATGTACTATTGTTGCTGAAACAACGAGGCAGCTCGCTATGTGTTGATATGGAAGCATCTACAACAAATGGTCTACTGTACAGGGGTGCACTGTACCAGAAGGTATGTGTGCTTGTAAATGGAGGGGCTTCAAAAGTCATGGAAGAATGGAATTGAAAGGTCATGGCATTTAGAAGCTCCCGCAGATTCACATTTCCCCTGGGTGGTACCAATAGTTACGTGCTTGGCTACTGATCAGAAGATCGGCAATGTGAACCCACTCTTAGGTGCCTTAGAAGAAAGGCCTGGCTATCAAATCCCCAAAGGGTATAACCTTCCTGAGCACAGCCCTACTCCAACACACTGGGGTCTCCTGGACTAGGGACTGCCTAGTTTGGGGTGATAGGAGGGCTCAGTGGTAGAATTCTGGCCTCCCATGCAAGAGACCTAGGTTTAATTTCTGCCCATGCACCTCATCACAGCCACCATCTGTCAGTGAGCGACATAACACGGCTGGACCACAAGGTCAGAGAGGCAGCCCACGCGGTTCCTCCCCACTTTGTCAACTCAGGGCAAAAGGAAGTAAGAAAAAGAAACTGCATCCAGCCTTCCCCTTTAACTTTGTTGCCCTGAGGATTAGGAAAGGTGAACTTTTTAAGTTTAAAGGCAGGCTGAAGGAGAATTGCTCTCTCTGTATTTTCAAAATCCCAATGACTGGCAGGTTTAAAAATTTTACTTCAAATGCTTTTCTTTTCTTTTTTTTTTTAACATTTTATTAGGGGCTCATACAACTGTTATCCCAATCCATACACACATCAATTGTGTAAAGCGCATTTATACATCGTTTCTCAAAACATTTTCTCTCCATTTAAACCCCCGACATTAGGTCCTCATTTTTCCCCCCAAATGCTTTTCTTAAAATCCCCATGTTTCCATCATTCATGAGCTTGGCCAGAATAAAATGTATAGTCTCAGGTGCCATCAAGTTGATTCCTACTCTGGGGGATTACCCGAAGAGCTCACGGAACAAGCAAGATTGAGTTTATCATTTTCCAACCATGGGCAGTACTAGGAAGCTCATAGACGGTAAGCCATCTGTGGGAGGCCACACAGCAGAACCCAAGCCTCTCCGTCTGCCTCATTCTTGCCACTCAGGCGATAGGCACAGGCAAGGAGCCAGCACCAGAAATTCTCACGAGTGGTACTCAATCCAAGCTCTGCTTCTGGCTGAGAAAGCGAAAGCCTTTCCAGCCTCTCTAATGTACACAAACTCTTGCTCGGCAGTTAGCTGTAGAGCTGGGTTAGAGTTCAATAGCGGTTTCTTAGTGAATTGAATTTGGGCTCCTGGCAGCCCAGCACTTAATGGCCTCCTCCTGGTTAACCACAGACTGGCCTATTTGATCAGGAATTAAACCCAACCAATGTGAATCTATTTGAAGTCCCTGTTCAAAATGAACAGTCCTATTATTTTATGCCCATTGCTTGATGAGCATTGACAAGACGTTCCCACCCAGCTAAAGCTACTAGGTTTTAGGCATCTAGCCGTAGCAGTGGTGGCTCAGTCGTAAAATTCTCGCCTCCCATGTGGGAGGCTGGGGTTTGATTCTAGGCCAGTGGGTGCAGGCAACACCTAACTGTGTCTTCCTATGATGAGGAATCGGGGTTGGCAGTTTCAGATGAAGGTGGCTTAGAAAAAAGGACTTGGCAAATTTCTGAAAAGAAGCATCCGGATGCCAGCCCATGGGAGTGGGGCAGGGGGGG